AGCAATTGGAACGTAACTCACCTAAATTGATATTACTGCTAAGGTACGACCCCATTTCATTTCTTTTTATTTTCGGACTAACACTTGCAGGTGGTCGACAAGAAGCAGCACGAAGTTTTTAGGTCTGAAAGCACGTGTTGCGCTCTTTTTTCCTTAGACCGATTTTGTCCCAAATGGGTTTTCCATAAGGTTTTTAACGAGGCAACAGTGGATCGTGCTAACTTAGAATCAAAGACCAATCAGGAATCGGTGTCAAAGATGGCATTAACAGTATCGGAGGTTCATCTACAATCAACCTCGAATACTGGGGGCATTACCTTGGATATCGACTTTAGCAAGGAAATTACTCCGTAATAGAAGGGTCTCGATAGGTAGGATTTGTTGTAAAGGCCAAAAGGTCAAACGAACCGTGCCCGCACAGATTGCTCGATCCCTGGCATAAAACATGTACGCATGTATAACTGTTTTGCACAAGAATAAAGAGAAGTACTTTCCTTGCAATTATCTTATGTTTTAAAAATTCACTCTTTACATCCCTTAAAGAATTTCGTAATTCCGATCTCTTAAAGTAACGAGCTCAAGGGTCGATTATAACCGGAGTTCGAATGATCACTCCTTCACTCGGGGACTGTCGTCCAAAAAAATAAACTTGAACGGCCCAAGTCACTGGGCCTCGGGGGCATAAGACCTATTAGGCAACCCCCGGATTTTAAAGGCCACGGCCAGCCTGCTCTAGGACTATTATCTTGGGCAATCTCGGATAACTCAGGAAAGCAAGTCCAATGGGCATCCCCCGAACTAAAAGGCTACGGCCATATTTACACGGCGCGAAGACATCCGAAACCCATAACAAAAGCTAGCCCTTCAAAAAAGAAAAATTTTCATAACCCGTTCTAAATTCTACCCTCAGCAAACTATAATCTCGGCTACCTACTTTGGAAAAAAGTTTTCGGTAACACCGAACCCCTAAGACGCCTTAAAACAGAGTAATGTAAACGCATGGTTTGTTTGAACTTTCGAACATAACCTAAGTTATTTTATGCAAAGGCATTCCGGCCTTCATGAATACAAGTAATAAGGCAAGGGGAAAATTTGAAAGCCGAAAGGTAAAGAAAGCCTCATATATATAATCTCTTTACAAAGGCTAGAATGGCCTAATACAAAAATCCACAATGGCCAAAACGGCCTCAAAAAGATGCAAAAAGCAGAAAAATAAAAATAAAAATAAAAACATCTAAAGGCCTAAGTGGCCCGGTCCTCATCGGAGGCAGTATCTTCATCCTCGGAATCTTCCCCGCTTTCAGACTCGCTTATGCTCTCGAAATCCTCCTCGGGAAAAGCCAGTTTTCGGGCCATAGTTTCTTCTACTTTGGCATTCTCGATTTCAGTCAATATGTCGAAGTTCTGAGCATGAACTCCTTCGAGGGCTTCCCTTCGAGCTTGCCACTTTGCATACTCCACCATACTTTTAGCCTGCGCCTGAATCGCCTCAACATCAACCTTGAACTGGGCCACTTTAGCATCAACCTCGGTCTTGGCCTTAACCGCCTCTCATTGGGCTGCCTCGAGTTGCTTGGCTAGATTTTCTTTACTAGAAATAGCCGAGTTCAACTGAGATCGGAGCTCCTCGATCTTCTTGGCCTGCACTGAGGATTTCTCTTTTGCAACCCGGAGTTGGGCCTCGACCGACACTAATTGTGCTTAGGCGGTTTTCTTTTCCGAGGCTAAGAGGTCCATATTTTTCTTACACTCCTTGGCCTCAGCTTGTATCGTCTCAACCTACGCTGGATCTACCCGATCTGTTCAAGCCTCTGTCGGACCTGCAGGATCGGATCGTTAGCCATTATGTCCAATTCGTCATCACTATCTTGAAGTACTCGATTTACCTGATCGGCCATCTCGGCATGCTCCCGCCGAGCCACTGCTAACTCGGCCTGAAGCTTCTCACTGAGAAGCTTGTAGGTGTCCATTTTCTCACTAATCTCCCGAACCCCGACCTCATGCTGGGTTAACTCCTCTCGGTATCGGAGGAAAGTCTTATGGTGGAGTACCGAGGCCTGCAAGCATAAAAAAAGGTGTTATGATTATTTACAACTTTAAGTTTAAAGTACATAATAAAAAAGACACTCGAAGTTACCCGATTCAACGCCTATTGAGCTTCATTGAATAGGCAGGTCATTTCCACCTCCATCACGGCCTGGTCCTCTTCGGTCACCAAACACCGAAGATAGCTAGCAATGATATCTTCTTTGGCACCGGCAAGTCTCCGAGCCCAGGGACGTCCTCTGAGGCAGAAGACTCTAACCCATCTAAGAAGTTGTGGATATCTGTAGCCCCCTTAGGCCCCTCTTAAGAATGACTTTCTAGCATACTGGCCTCATGGATCATGACATCTGAGAACTGAGGAGATCCGGTAATTTCAATCACCCCAAGCTCATCTTTCGAGACACTTTCCCCTGCTCGAGAAGCATCAACCCCGATTTCCTTTTCGTCTCCTCTAGCTCAAGGCGGAGTGGCCTCACCCCTTTCTAGTTCGGGAGCTTTGGCTAAAGTTCTCTCATCGACCTCCTCAGGTTGAGGCGGTTCAATCTCAACACCCGCTAGTTCGGAGGCCTCTCGTATCAAGACACCTGCCCGCATGCGGGCTGCCAACTTGGATTTATCTTCTTCTTTTTCTTCAGACTCATCCCTTAGCCGGTGGACTGAGTCCGAGGGTAGAGCGCCGGTGCTTCCCTTGGGTTTACGTGCGGGCCTCCACTTTGGTTTTTCTTTTCCGAGTTCGGAGAGCCCTTTTCCTTTTCTTCTCGTCACCCTGTCTCGGAGCAGGGGACTTGAGAGGTACATCCTCATCACCGGATAGAGGCCTTATAGCAACATCTTTGGGGAGATCTACAAAAGAAAACAGAACCGATAAGAATTCGACAGCGCAAGGGGGAAATCAAACGTTATTAAATCAGAAAAGAATACTTACCATGATTACGGGCCTCCCACCGACCCTTCGATAGTTCGCTGCGCGCTCGGAATACGGTCCTTGTGACACAAAATCCTCGACCCACTCCTTGAGTTGAGGAACTGCATCCGGTATCCAAGCCACAGGTGCACCACAAAAATGACGATAAGAAGGGAGGGACGGGGAGAAACAACAAGTAAAATCTTAAGGCGGAGTTATACTTACGCTTCATGTTCCATTTCTTGGGAAATGGCATGTCCTCGGTAGGGATCAAGTCCAAGGTCTTCACTCGAACAAATTGGCCCATCCATCCTCCGTCCCGATCCTCATCTATACTCGAGAACAGGGCCCTAGTGGCCTGGCGAGTAAGTTTTATTAATCCCCCTCGATAGAGTCGGGAACTGTACAGACGCATGAGATGATCGAGGGTGAAGGGACACCCCTCGATTTTGCTTACAAAAAAGCGAAGAAAATCACTATCCTCGAGAAAGAGGGGTGAATTTGACCGAGGGTCACTTCGTACCTTTTGTAGAAGGCAATAATGATCGGGTCTAAGGGGCCAACGTGAAGGGGTAAGTGTAAACATTTAAAAAATCCTCCATGTGGGTAGTAATTGATTCCTCAGGCGACGACACCACCACGTGTTTATCGGCCCAGTTACAATCCTCATCGGTGATCGAACATATATATCTCGAGACTGGCTCGCATCGACCCGGTGCCGAGGAAGTTTTTACGATCTTGAAATCAGCACCGATCGGGCACCCTCCTGGAATGAACTCTTCAGGGTGTGGCTCCGCCGCAGTCCCATCACCAGCAGGCCGTGATAAAGAGGTTGTTTCTTTCTGTGGAACAGTCTTAGAAGTTTTCGCCATTTTAAAGCAGATATGAAGAAAAGGAAATTAAGAAAGTACTCTTAGTGGTTGCAAAAGGTTCAAGAAATCTGGGTACAAAAGTTGGAGGGTGAAGAGATTCCTGAAGAACAAGAGCAGAAGAAGCTTTTTAACATAAAGTTTGAATGAATGAAAGCCGGGATACTTATAGTTTGCTAATGACGGTTCCAAACCAGTAGTGGCCGACCAACACTGACACACATTTAATGCCTTGGAGACTAGGCCGTTTCAGTTACCTTTTGTTGCTTACGTCATGATCTTTCGAAGCAAGGTTCGGAAGTTCATATCGTTTCTCATCATCTTTTCTCCGAAAAATAAGGGGACTATCTATATACGGTCGAAACCGGGTTCGTCCATTGAGTGGCTAATCGAGGCTAGAACATGGCAGGTCAAAGCTCGAGCTCAGATTATATCGAACCAAGGCGTAAAATTAGATCGTCGAGCTCGCGACCCAGAGACCGAGCAAGATCGAGGCCGAACAAGATCAATGGAAACTTGGTGAGCCAAATAACGGAAAGCCGAAATATCCGCAATCGGTCGAAGATCACGGCGGAAATCTCGGCACGTATCAAGAAGAGGCTGAATAATTAGCATCATGGGATTTTTTAACTTGTATAGAATTGTACCAAGAGTAGAACACCCCTACTATATAAAGAGGGGTTCTGATCATTTGTAGGACACGTTGTAACACGCACAAAGAAAGCAATATACTGGTCATTTCTAGTTCTTATCATCTTGTTGTTCAGTTCTAACATTAGTTGGTACGTTTCTTGGCTCGAGGGTGATCAAACTCAGAGTCTAAGGCTGTTCAATATGTGTGGTTTGCATTTATTTTTTTATTGTTAATTTCAATATTAATCTGTCTTCTTATTTGTATCAAGTTATATCATGTATCCTTAAAACCGTGTATATATTCATTGTGATTCAATTTTAAGAGTAAAAAAATATGGTACAATATAATACAATACATTATGAAACAACAATCCAAATAAGGTATTAGCAATTGTCCTTATTATTTCGGGTCACGGGGTACAACATGCATATACGATTCCTTGGTTGTACTAAATTTACAATTTGGCGTTTTCGGCCGTAACTGCCGCCTTGGTCTTGCAAATTTGTCCTTAATAATTGAGGTTCTTATTCCGTAAATAATTTATTTATTTCGGTATTCAAAAATCAATTTGCTCTCATCCATTTTTCTTTTAATCAAATTCTCCTTTTACTTTGTCGTCATTGCCCTCTTCTTCTCATTTAAGCTTTATCTTAGGGTTTCTTGAAACACATTTCTACAACCTTCAGATTTTTTTTCCAAGGCAAAAAAATGCAACAGCAGCAGCAGCAACTACAACCCCCAGTCTTGAACTCTGCTCCTCCACTGCCTCTGAATGCTATCACCACTGAGCAGATTCAAAAGGTGCATCTTTTTTCCCCCTCTCTTTTTTATAATTTTTATTTTGTGCTGTAATATATTCTCTGTTACTTTGTTTTTTTTTCTTGATCACAGTTCTTAGATGAGAACAAAAATTTGATTCTTGCCATACTGGAAAACCAGAATCTTGGAAAACTCTCAGAATGTGCCCAGTAAGTTAAATAAATTTAATACTACTACTTTTTTTAGAGTTGAGATTTATGTGCATTTTGTAATGACATTATCAGTTTTGTGTATCTAACATTTCAAGGTGGCATCTTTTTTTTTTCCCCGTCATGTTGTTTTCTTATTGTAACACATTGTTGTCTCTATTTAAGCTAAGGTATTTTTTTTTTCTTCAAAAAATGGCTGATCGGACGGAGAATATAAGGGTAATACTTTGTAGTTCGATGATCAAGGATGTTTGGCGCACACTATTTGCTCGATAATCTCTTTTAATAATTCAAGTATGGTACTTCATTTGATTTTTATCTTAATTGCAAGTTTTGTGGCTTGATTTTGAGGGTCTATAGATTGCCCTAAAGATGATTTGGTTTTCCACTTGTAAAGCCCCAAACTGCAATTAAAATTAAAGAGCCTAGAGGCGAAGGAATTTGATTTATATGTCCATTTTGGAAGCTCACGCCCTCGTCATGAAACATTTGAAGTGTTGTTTTGGAGTTGGCTGCACTAATTAGCTTGTTTAAGTATTTTGACTCGGAGATTGTTTTTGTAGTTTTCTAAATTTTTTTTCTATTTATCAAATATCAAAATCTATCCCTATTTCAGTTCCAAGAGCTAAATGTTTTGCTAAAACAAGGAGCTCTATGATTAAAATCAAGTGGGAATAGCATTGCTCTGGGTTTAGAAACGGTAACATTCACACAGGAAAAGAGTGTGGCCTTAGAAGTCTCAAAACAGCAATGAGCAAATCCATCTTTGAGCTTGCAATATAATTTGTAAGACCACAAAGTACTCAGCAATTGGCAGAGAAAGAGAATGGGTCAGAACTGATGAATGGAAATGGAAATGCAAGAATAACCGGTGATTCCAGACATGGAATTGCTGAAACCAGAGGCGGATCCAGGATTTTAATTCTGTGGGTTCAACATTTATTATTTTTGGCGTTGAACCCATTATATTTTTAAAGTTATGTGTTCGTATCTACTATTTATTGTAGTTTTAATAGATTTTTGCCCATAAATTTATAGTACTGCATATAAAAAGTAATGGGTTCAGATGAACCCGTTGTCCAAAGGCTGCATCCGCCCCTGGCTGAAACTTAAGGAGGTCAAAAATGTTTTAGGCATCTCTTGGGAGTTGATGAGGAAAAGGCGAAGGAACTAATGAAGCAAATATAATGGAGAAGGCAAGAGATAGTGAACCAAAAGGTTAGGTAAAACAGAAGCAACAAATAATAGTGGGAACTTTAAAGGTTTCAATGCAGTTTCCGCACAGAAAAGATCCTAATAGAAAACCAAATGTAGGGAACAAATTGTTTTTGGACGTATAACATCCACATAGCTTGGTATGCTAGGAGATAGTTCTATATGATGTTATAGAATAGATAGGGTGAATGGTTCAGGTATTTGTAGTGTGCAGCATGCTAGCTGTGTATATTAGTCTTGCACTCGCTGCAAGCTTTTCTGACAAAAATTTATTCTCAAAATGAGAAAAATGGTAATGGAAAAAGTGCTCTTGTGCTAGGTTAGTTACTTTGGGAGTAAAATTCTGAAAAGTTGCTCGAGGTAAATTGCTCAGGCATCCAGACATGAAGCAGAAATTTATTATAGAAGAAACATCACTATGTGAACTGATACCTACAGTACCAAAAGAATAAGGGAAATATGTTCTGCAGACGCTATAGTTGATATATTCTGCAGGGTGTTGCTGCATGAAGAAATTAATTAATGTTGTCCAAGTTTAATTAGACCACTCAGCTTATGGGAGGACATTCTAGTGAAAGGATATTCATAAATTCCAAAATGACTTTTGTATGTAGTGGGAGTAGATCGTCAGGTATCAAGTTGAAATCCCAGCTGAAACAAAAAACACTTGATAACTTCTTCACATTTGCCCAAGCCTTGGTGGCAGAGTTACTTGTACCTGTATTGGTAGGAGGTAGTAAGTACCCAATGGAATTAGTCGAGGAGCGTGCAAGCTGGCCAAGACACAACCATGATTAAAAAAAATGACTTGATATGAATGAAATTAAGAAGAGACAATTGAGTGATTCTGACATGCCATTGGGATTTGCAATTGTTCTCTCTACTTTTCATTTAGTTCTATATGTCAGAAAATGCATTTTGTATTCTTGTTCAATCATGAGGCTTTTCGTGAGACATGTTTTAGAAGTTGATTTGGCTTGTCCAGAAGGTGAGCGCTTACCCATTCCTTGAAGTTGGATCAGGAAAAATGTGCAGTGTTGACCACAGAAATATGATTGGCTAATTGCATGTTCACTTCCTATCTTAAGAACTCTGTTTGCTTTGCATCACCAAATCTCATGTTAAAGTATTGTTTTGCACTATTAAAAGTTGATTTTGGTTGTTTAGAAGGTGAGCGGGCTCTTAGCCTTTCCTTGAAGTTGGATCAGGAAAAATGTGTACTGTTGCCAAGAGGAATATAATTGCACATTCACTTTCTTCTATCTTATGGAGTGTGTTCGCTTGGCATTGTGAAATCTCATGTCAAAGTAGTGTTTTGCACTATTAAAAGTAATTTTTATGTCATAGGTATCAAGCCCTGCTTCAGAAGAATTTGATGTATTTAGCTGCTATTGCTGACGCCCAACCACAACAATCAGCAGCAACCTCACAGGTGGATTAGATGTTTGATTTAGTGTTTTCTCGTGAATTTACTTGTCATTCCCTAATATGTAAGTAGCTGCAGGCTCCATCTACTACCCAACCCGGAAGCCAGATGCAGCAAACGCAGGCTGCTCTGCAACAGCAACAGCAACAGCAACAGCAACCAGGCGTCCCTATTTCCAAACTGCCTTTCCAACTCAACGCCCTTCCATCCCAGGAGCAGCAACAGCAAATGCTCCACTTTCAGCAGCAGCAGCAGCAGCAACAGTTCCAAGGCCAATATGGCTTTGGACCTACTGCCAACAATGCAATGCATCAACTTATGCAACCTGGATTAAACAGCTCAGGAACTCTGGATGCACGAGGAAATAAGCAAGGGAACTTAGAAGGTAATCCTAGTGATGGCCTTGGAAAATCAGGTGCAAGACATGTTAACAGTGAGAGAGAATAGGCTTTTAATATGTTTGTTTCTTCAAATGATTATGCACCCTATTTTATGTTTGTAGGTATGTTTGATAAAGATATTTTAAACTAAGGAACACCTAAAATTATGTCATCAGAGGCAATCGCGGCAAAGCTTTGTTATAGTTTTTCAATTCTGGAACTATTGGCATATAAGAAAGCTTCACTTTAATATGATTGCATGGATCTTTTGACATCTGAATTCATTTTTCTAATTTTCTCTTTGCTTCATGCCTAGTGACTATCTTTTTACATTTCAAAAGGAACCAGCTAAGGTTTCTGAGCTAATAGCTAGTACAACTTGCCTTAGCGTTGGCTACATTGTGAACCTCTTAAATATCGGGGGGCTGTCCGACTGAGCGTAATGACTAAGAATATCAACGTCGACTTGCGTGAAAGTTTGGCTACTCAAGCAAGTTTTTAAATAATTGTACAAAATTAATTTGATAGCATAATTGTGAAAGAGATACGGTGATTTAAGGTGACATGTATTGTTGTTCTCAAAACTATAATGATGATTAAATTTATTTTATCTTTTGAAATATCAGACGAATAAATTATCTCCTTACAGTTTCTGAGACAATTGTGCATCAACTCTACCGTTATACTGTATCCCGCATCTGTTAAATTCTCCAACCCAGCCTTAAAAATCTATGTGGCATGGCGTAATTGGACGAAAAGACCCAGCCTATTTTAAATGAATAACCAGCCTGGGAAACAAACTCCAATTTCCCTCATCTTTTCCTCATCTCTATTCTTTTCCTTTTAGTTTCCATCTCTTAAATTTTTTGAATTCAAAGTGGGAGTAAATTCTACATGACCCCTCTTAACCTTTATTTGGTTGGAAAACAATACTCTCTCTACTTATTGAATGGGTCCTTGAACAACATTTTCTAGTGAGGTTTATAATTTTATTACCCCAAAAAACTATTGCTGCACTTTTTTCTTGTTCAATGGATAAAGCTTGACTTTAGCTACGTACTTATCCTAAAACCTCTAGCGATGGTAATACAATCAAATGTGATATGAACTACAACAAGAGATGATGAATATGGAGCAGGGCCGAAGAGGTGGGAAAGCTTGGAAATGTGGATATTTGTTGTATGAACAAGCAAATTTTAGCTTCATTACAGCCATAGCTAATTATGTGAAATTCAACATATATGATTTCTAGTCTACAAAGCAACTCTAATTTCAGAAGGCTGCTAGTCACTACCAACAACAGATCAATTCTTGTGGAGATCGATTGCAGCATTAACTCTTCAATGCTTGAAAATACTGCTGTATTTTTATTTTATTTTTGTTATTTCGTTTTGCTAAAGTTTGCTTATGCTTTATGCGACCCAGAACTGAGGCATTGATTTGCCCTATTCTTCCATCCGTTCGCACTGGAAATTGCAATAACTTCAAGCCTTCGTTGTTTTAGCACTGGAAACAAGTTTCCAACACTAAAATACAGGGCACAATTCAAAAACTAGATCATACGAAGAACATATCAATTTTTGTTGTTGACCCGTAAGTTAAAGGGGCTATCATTCTCATTCAAAAGGTGAAGAGAATATTATTTCCCGGCTATTAAAGGTTAAGAAGGTTATATGAAATTTACACTTCAAAGTGCCCGCAGATATGGATTTTTTTTTGGTCCGAAAGAGGAAGTAGTTGTATTACTTAAACATAAAAGTACAGGGAGAATGGTGCAATAAGGGCACCTTTCATTTCTCATCAGTCCACAAACTTGTTTGGTTAAAGTTTCTTCAAAAGGACTTCTCATAAAAAGATTTGTGTATGCAACGCACCATGAGATACTTTGAAAATAGCAAACTTGGAAAAAAATTACAACTATCCTAGTGTTTTGTTTTGCACAAATTATTCAAAAAAAGACTTTCAGAAAACCTTACTCTGAAAATTGACCGAACCACAAGTACTTCTGATACCACAGCCTGAAGTTGCCGGTAAAAGAGGACTGGGAAGTAGAGAGTGACTGATATCCCTTCTGCTCGGGGAAGTGAAAACATGATTCATTTTCCGTAGGATTTTTAAGGTGATCTAAATAAGTGAGTTGGAGACGAGTTCCCAAGAACTTCGTAAAGGGCTGTCAAATATAACAATGAATGACTAATCACCAAACTTACCCAGACTTATTGAAGAACAGAAATAAATTCTTTGAATTTGGTTGTTTGATAGAGTGATGATAGATAAAGGATAAAGCTTTAAATTAGTTTGATTTGGTAATTGAACAAATTATTATAAAAATAAAAAATAAAAAAATAAAAACAATCAAACAAAATGAGTTTGAGTTGAAAGATTGGGTTATCATCCCATTGTTAAGCCAAAATGGTCCTTCATGTGATGACCCTTTGGGTCATCACTTGTATTTAAAATGAATTATGTGTTCCGAGGCTTTAAAAACCTCTTTATCTTCACCTCGATTTGCGTGCGCAGTCCGGGCGGTTGTCACACCTCCTTTTTACTTACTACACCCCTGGAAGGGATATAATAAAAGGGAGTTTTTTCCAATTAAGGACAATCGAAACGGGATTTATTTATTGAAGGAATTCAGGAGTCGCCACTTGGGAGATTTATAGTGTCCCAAGTCCCAGTTAAATCCCGAATCGAGGAAAGAGTGACTCTGTTAACAATCCGCGAACCAGAAATCCGGGTAAGGAATTCTGTTAACCCGGAAGAAGGTGTTAGGCATTTCCGAGTTCCGTGGTTCTAGCACGGTCGCTCAACTGCTATATTCGGCTTAATTATCTAATTTTAAACAATTATGAACCTATGTGCAAATTTTAGTTTTTAACCGCTTTTATTCATTTTTTAGAGAAAATATGCAACGTTATTAAAACACGTCTCGAACCACGTCACATAAATGCACCCGTGGTTTTTGACATATTTTAACATCGTTGAGATTTGGATTTGGGTCACATAAATGTGCACCCGAGTTTAGGAAAGTAGATTATTAAAATACGCGCCTAAAGCAGCTACGCGTTTGCAACTTTGCGAGGGCCATGGAAAACTCGCTAAATGGCACACCTCGAATTCTAAGGATAAAACAAAATTAATTAAACGAGGGCCATGCAATTGTCATTTTGTTCGGCACGGCACACCTCGACTTCCAATTTTAAAAGGGAATTTCAACTATATTTGGAAGGCCATAAACTATTTGGCTTTTAATGGCACACCTCAATTAATCAAAGGCCCAACCATTAATTAAAGAGAGCTTATGGAATCACACCTATTTTTTAAACCACGGTTGAATTCAATTATAAATCTAAAGGGGCAAGACTAGGTGAAGTCTACTGCATTGGCCTGACATGAGGCCCAATACAAATACCTCAAGAACTTTTATTTCTTCCAGCCTCAGGACATCTTCACAAGTACACTAATAGCAAAGAGTCCACCCACTGCACCAGACGAACTAAATGAGACAGTGTTTTCTAGGCAGAATTAGCCACGCGACAAGTTTAACTCCAGCTCTAGTTACCATATAAGAAAGCCAAAGTCCTACATTTCCCTCTTCCTCTTCAACAAGTTTTCCAAAAATATACAAAAAGAAAAGGCTGCTGGAGAGGTGCTATACCAAACTGACCCAATTGTTGTTAAAGTTGAAGCATCGTTTAATTCTCAGATTCATGAGCATCCTCATTCAAAGAATTCAAAAAGCTAATCTCCAAAGATAATACTACTTAATAGAGAACAAACACTAATGAACTAATTTATCTACACATCTGGATTAAACCAAAACAAAGAACAAGCAATTTGTATACAAATATTCTTCTCGGTAAAACTAACTCCAAGTATCTAACAGTGAACAAAGAATTGCCAAACATGAAAAACTCTATGACCTTAACCATGCTCATCGAAAGCAGAATGCTTATCAGAAAATATGTGCACCCTTCACTTATGCATCGTTCGGATTGTTTCATGAGCTCCCTTGTTAAACCATGTAAATTTCGAAGAGCATACCAAACTAGCAGAAACTTTGGACTGTAATTCCCATGGAATGGCCCAGGAATGACTTTACCCAAAATTCAAAGATCCAATGTAACAGTCTAAAACAACAACCAAAATTGCCAAATGACTAGAATTGAAGCAAATGCTATTTGAGATTAAGCTTTAAAGAACTCATCAGAAGTATTTGAATCACAGAACTGGAACTTCATAATTCTATGCTAACTCTACGCACGCAAAAGCAATTTTTCAACCCATTAAACCTCTCTATCAGACCATTTCAGTTCCTTAACTTAGATCTTCAATTTCAGTTCCTTAATACAATATGCTCAGCCTTTAATAACTGAAGAAGCCAAGAACAAGTTGCTGTGTATTTTCAGAAGAAAACAAACCAGTTGAAACATCGACAATCATGCATACGACTCTACCAATTTGATTATGACCTAAGTATTTTAACATTGAAAGGTACTCGTACCGGAAAATCAGAGAACCAAACAGAAAACCATGAGAATATGCATCGATGATTCCGACTCATTCAACAATCATAAAGCCGAACAGATCATCCATTTTAACTCGAGAAAATCTTAACCCACGAGATACTTCAACACCATAATAACAGCCAAAAAGCATTCGAGGCATAGAAAACGGCCATTCAAATTCAACTTTTACTAACTGAACATACTTAAATACATCACACCACTGAGAATAGATTCATTCAACAAGAAATTCGATCACAACACGAAACAGACCACTCTAGACTGAATCTCATGGCTCAAAAACACTGAAACATAAAAGAGTCGCATAGAATAAGAGAGAGGAAAATTGAACATGAAGTTGCAAATCTCCTTTATAACAATTATAGACTCGACAATACACCTCTCGAATCCAAATCCTAGCGAGGTTCAGCAGCAAATCAGCAAGACGACAGTAGAAAACCAAGCTTGAATTTCAAATTTTATCTCCTTGGAACTCAAATCCGGATTCAAAATATAACAAAAATTGTATATATGTTTCCCTTAAACTTTGAAAGAACTCTTCAAAGAAGAAAATAAAATCGGAAAAAAACCAGAAAATAATCGAAGCCTTTCAACTTTTCTCCAAATTTGTTCCCGAGTCCCCCCCGAAAATCTCCAAAATTCTCTCTACTTATCAGGCACAAACCTGATGAATGAAGGGCTGGGATCAATCGAAATCGATCCCACGCTCCATATTCATCCAGAATATGCCTTCTAGAGGCTTCCAACACGTGAA